CAAATACAGCATCATATTTGATCACAAGCTGATTGGTACATCAGGCATCGCACTTTGTTGAAGTCCAGCTTCAGACTGTTTAAATATTCAGATCACTGTGCAGCTATGGGTATCTTTAAATCCTTTCTTTTTTTTGTATTTATTCTCCTTTAATTGCCTGTGTTCCTTATGCTACATGTGGGAAATGTAAAAAATGTGTCATTCTAATTAAGGAGTAAACTGAACTGTGGGTTGTTGCATTTATTTATTTAATTTTTTTTTTTTTTTAGCGATGCTCCTTTTATAATCGAATGAAGCAGCTGCTACAGTGTGATGTTTTTCCAGCTGTATCCACCTAACAAGAGCCTGTGAACAGCGCAGCTATACTCCCCCTCACAGATTTGAGTCTTTCAGTTTTCACCCTGTGGCAGAATCACTGGTTTTTCTCTAACGGCCACATGTTCTTCAATTATTCCCCCATGCTTCTTCTTCTGTTGGGTGTGGGTGTGTGTTCTGGGGATTAGAGAGAGGAGCAGACCTCAAGTGAGTTAAGAGGATAACAAAGATAGAACACAGACACACACACACACACACGCATACACAAAAACACACAAATGCACAGAGGGCCACATTTACATGCACATGCAATTACTTACACTCACATACTCCCAGTCGGCTGTTTCCATGGGTAATGGCAGCTAAGTTACAGCAGCGCAGTGACAGGGGGAAAGATGGTGCGGTGAGCAGGCCATCCTTCTAATTGTGGTCAAGCCGTCTGGTCAGCAATTATTTAGGACAGAGAGCAGGAGTAATTCACTGTGGCATCGCTGAAGTATTGCTTGTTACGTTAATGACAAACACATTTGACTGTTTGCGCTTCACACAAATAGGCTGGATGAGGTTAGTTGCTGTTTTGATTTTATTCTTTTTTTTTACTTTCTCCAGCATCCACAGCATTCCTCACCGAACAATTTATGACTAATACATTTTTCATTAAAGCAGCAGATCGTTGCTGTGATAATAACTTCAATGAAGCCAGTAATTTACCTTAAAAGGCACAAAATTTACAAAAATGATCCTGCAGATCAATCCATTTGTGTGATGTCGTGTGATGTGAATGAAACTATCTGAAACTCCTGCCTGCTGGTCTAATTGGTCTGACTGGTTTGCTGTGTTTAACACTGTCAGTGAATACAGTTGTCCCTTAAAATGTATTCACACCCTTCCATTAAAGAAAAGGCAAAATTCACAATAGTCACTCAAATAACTAGAAACTGGAGGGGGGGAAAAACACAATAAATAAAGATTTGCTAAATTATAATTTAGTGAAATAAGACATTGCTTTTGAATTACGGTTGAAAAGAATAATTTGAAGAAAAGAAAAGAAAAAAAAACTGTCCCAGACAAATTAGAGCACTTTTCTGATTATCAGTGGGCCAAAATCTAAATAGCTGTCGACAGGTGCAGAAGTCTGACTGAGAGTTACAGAAAACACTTGATTGGCTCAAAGGGTTGTTCAACAAAACATTAGTTTACAGGTCCCATAATGCTTGTTTGCTTGTTTTTGTTTCTTTATTTGTTTTAATATTTCTGTTGAACCACAATTCAAAAGCAATTTCATGATTTTCATGACATTTTTATTTAATATTACTTTTGTCAATGTCAGCTTATTTCAGTGACAGCTGTTGGGTTTTTTTTTTATATAATAAATTTGAGGACGACTGTATATTCACTATGCTACTAAACCAGCATGTGTACATGTGCAATTCCTGAAGCTGTAACTGTCCTTCTTGGGAAGTGTTTTGTCTGTTTTCCTTTTTTTTTCTTTTTTTTTTTGTCCTTCTTCGACAAAGCAAAGTTATTGCAAAATCCATTTGCTCTCCTGCCATTTTTATAATCAGCTGCAGGTTGCTCTTCAGTCGGTCAATTCGTGTTCAACAAATCTTCCCCTTCCCATCTGACAAGCAGTTTACGAGGATGAAATGAAAGGTTTACGGGAGCACATAGGTGTTTGATGCTGCCCTGCTGTACGGGTCATCTCATGATTGTACAGTAGTTGGTTTCTTCACACAAACGCAAGAATGTAATAAACTGAAACTCGGTGCAACAATGCAACACTGCTCTGCTATTCCCAGTTATGTACAGCGGCTGTTTCAAAGTTTTTTCTTTCACTCTGCCAGAAATAAAATTGCACATATGTGCATTGCATCCATCTTGCCAAATTTTGTGGAAAAAATAAATAAAAAATACCAGGAGCATGAAGAGAGGGGGTCTCCAACAACTGCCAATGTTACAGGAGGAATAATATGTATGCACATGCAGGATTTCTCACACTTGTCATTTAATCAATTATGCAAAAGTGTGCACATTGGGGCATTTCAAATGTAGATATACGTAGTGGAGTCTTAGTGAAATGCCACATATGCATGGCTGTATGTCAGTGTACGCTTGAATGACACTCAGTTCAAACATCAAGTTAGTCTTAGAAGAATAGAATGGAATAGAATAGAATAGAATAGAATAGAACAATTAAAACTTCTGCTTTCTCTGCAGCCTTTTGTCTTTGCCATGAAGAAATACTGGATAGATGGTTTGAATAAAATGGAAATGAAATAAAATGAAAATAAAAGTGAAAAGGAAAAGGTATATTCGAACTGGGAAATTTTAATGTCATTAAAATTCAAATTTACAAAGAACAATGAAAGATTAAAAGTTTCAAAAAATTAAATTAAATGAATAGAATAGTTTTCAGCCCTCATCTCTAGGCAGGAAACTGCAGGAGAATTTTATTGAACCAATAAAACAAAAACCCCGGGGTGCCCCAGTAGCTCGACTGGTTTGGCAGGAGACCCATGAATTGGAGCTATTCGTCCCCACTGCAGTAGCCTTGGATCAGTTTCAACCCATGGTAAGATTTGATACATATCCATCCTCCCTTCTACCTGTTAAAAATAAAGGCAATAAATAAATAAATAAACAAATAAAGCTCAAAAGATGTTCTCAAGGTTTTACAGTGGTGACAAGAAGTTCATCAAAGGGGCTGAGATGAGTCAGTGGAGCTAAAGCCAAAGCAGCATCTTTGGTGGGCTCCTCAAAAAGAAATTCACCATCAGACACTGAAACAGGTTCAGCAGAAATAAGAATCCGAGCTGCTCTGGCTGATTGTCAGATCTGGATTCTTTATGGTAATCATGGCAGGAGCTTGACCAGCAGAAGTCACAGGAGATGATGGAGATGTTATGGCACCAGACCAGGCTCCTCATTCACATCTTTAGCAGTGGTGGTTGCACTCTTTGACCCAAACATCAAGTCTGCTAAGTGCAGCCTCTTCTGCTCTTTAGATTAAAGGTTCTGAGCCTGAAAAAACAAGTAGATGTCTCCCACTGCGAGATCAATGATGGTGTTCAGCACCTTTCCTGAGCTTCTTCACCAGAACTTTTTCTTGGAAAGACAGGACCATGTCATCTCTGATGGAGAAGGATCAGGGAGAGAGACCTGCTCTTGAACTGTTGTTCAAATACAAAGACAACTTTTGGAATCACCTCCGTCACCTCCTCCCGTGGGCCGAGCAGTTTGGAGCTGGGCCCCACCTGCTGCTGCCCTGTCAGGTTCCTGGCTCACTTCTCCACCTGGCTGATGATCTTAGGATGTCTGTAGGTTACAGTCATTCAGAGCTTGTTTTTAAACACTTCATAACCCCGCTGAGATATCAAACCGGAATATTTTAGATGTGTGTCAAATATAATTCACTTCAACTGAGGAGGTATGGCCTCTGGTGAGTTGAGCAGCCGTCTGCTTTAAAACTCAGCGTCCCTAATCTTCCCGCTGGTGTTCACCTCCCACACCTGAAACAAGCAAAGGCATATGCTGAGCAGATTGGACATATTTACAGGAGAAAATCAAATGTTGAGTCTTTTCAGGATTGTGGTTTTATCAGCTTGAAAAGAGGCCTGCCATCAAAGCCAAACCTTCAAGCAGAAAGAAAACACAAATTTCATCTTTACTTTTCTTTTCTTCATGAGCAGAGTTTAGATCAGGTGTTTATGTGTGTGTGTGTGTGTAGTGCAGTGTGTCTCTGTGACTCACTTCACTCTCAGTGTGTGTTTGCTCTGCTCCACCAGCAGCTCAGTCATATCCTCAGCTGTCACGTCAGATGATTGCTGTTTATTCTGCTGAAGCCTCAAAAGTTCAGTCACTAGCAATCTAAACAACATACAAGAATTCAGATATGCAAAAAACAAACAACACAATTTAGAGGTTTTGAGAATTATATTTTGGTGTAGGCTTCAAACTATACTTCTTTGAGAAGTAAGAGCTGCAAACAGACCTGCAGAATCTGCTCATATGTGGGCGCGTCAAGCAACACTTAGGATGGAAATAGGGTAACGCTGCTCATTAGATAAATTATCATTATGTTGTTTTGTTCTAACTACATCTGAAATATTTACAGTCTCACTAAAGAGAACTCTCTATACCCTGCTGAGTCTGAAAAATGCCTTTTCCTTCCTTCAGTAAGCTCAGTAAAGACTCGAGAGTCCTCAAACACAGTTGATCCTCTGGACTCAAATGAACAGTGTGTTCCGGCTGAAGAGTGTGTAACGTCTGCAGAGAAATTCTCATTGTTGAGTTGCTGCAGTCGGCATTTACACACACACACACACACACACACACACACACACACACACACACACACAAAGACTTTTTCCAATATGATATTATTT